AACTTGGGCCAGTGAAGCGACGTCCTCCACAACTAAACTGAAGAACAAAAGGGCAGCAACTTGTCTGTTCCCCTTCCCCCAATTCCCCAGCGCTGTTCCCATCCCCCAATTCCCCAATAAAAATTAAAAAGAAAGAAAAAAAAAAGAAAAAGACTTGGGTGAAGGCTTAGGAAGCATGTCTTCAGTGCTTGAGGGAGATTATTATTTTACATGTTGATTCTCGCAACCACTGCATAAGAGATAAATACCGCTGTCTCCATTATATAGATAAGGAAACTGAGGCCCAGAGACATGAAACAACTTGCTAAGGACACACAGGCAAAAATGAGTTTCACTCCTAGGAAAACTGTTGTGAGGACCCCCTAAGTCAGGAGTCAGGAAACCATGGCCCACAGGCCAAACCCAGTCTGTTTTTGTAAATGAAGCTGTCTCAGTCAATGTCGGCTGCTGTAACAAAAATACCACAGGCTGAGTGGCTTAAACAACAGAAATTGATCTCTCACGGTTCTGGCGACTGGAAGTCCGAGATCAGGGCGCTGGCATGGCCGGGCTCTGGGGAGGGCTCTTCCTGGTTTGCAGCCATCTTCCCACTGTATCCTCATATGTTGGAGAGAGAGAGAAAGGGTGAGCTCTCTTCCTCTTCTTATAAGGGCGCCAATCTCATCATGGGGGCTCCACCTTCATGACCTAATCACCCCAGAGGCCTCACCTCTCAAAACCATCACACTGGGGCCTCAGCTTATGAATCTGGAGGGATTTGGGGGGGTGGGGAGACACAAACATTTAGTCCATAGCAAAAGCTTTATGGGAACACAGTCACACACCCATTCAGTTGTGGATTTTCTGGGACGTGTTTATGCTACAAATGGCAGAGATGGGGAGTTGCAACAGAGATTGTAGGGCCTGCGAAAGCTAAAATAGCTAGTCTTCACAGAAAGAGTTTGCAGGCTCCTGCTCTGGGTCAGGAATACAACGGATTTTCAATAGCACCGAGGCGACAGCTATTCATTAAAGCACTGACTGTGCGCCAGGCCCAAGGAGCTCTGTTGGTGAGGGTAAGAAGTCAGGATGTAATTCTAAGTGTCACGAGACACAAAGGTCTGAGTCTTGAGTTAGCCAGCAAACGAAAGAGAAAGGTGTTCCAGGGAGCGGGCATAGCTAGGGCAAGGCTTGGAGGCCAGTAATCTTAACTACCAGCCAAGGAGGCTCCCTAGATGACGCTCACCTTCCCAGTCCCACACGGCGGCCAGGAGGTGTCCCTCCACTGCAAGCCTGCTCCCAAGGGCAGCCGTCCACTGTACTGCACTTTCAGGTGTGTGCTGCCCTCCATGTGGGGCTGGAGTCGCTGGTGTGGTGCAGCTGCGAACGGTCACCCCCCTGCCTCTTGGGCACCTGCAGCAGAAACTGGGGAAGACCCACACCCAAGGTGCAAATCAGATCATGCCACTCCCAACAATCTCCACTATATTTATCCGGAGTACCAGGTAGGTTCTAGGTGCAGCACTGGGCACCAGGTAGGTACCCAGGAATGAAGGAGCAAGAAGTTCCCCCTGCCCCAGTAGGAAGGCAAACTTGAAACAAGTACATTGACAAAGGCACAGCCGATTCTCCCTTTTGCTCCCCCTGCCAGCCACTCTGATGAACTGCCAGGTCCTCAACCACGCCATTTTTCCCCCTGCCCCAGGACCTTTGCACTTGCTGTTCCCCCTACCTGCAGCGTGCTCCCATGGGAACAAAACTGTTTTAACTTTCAGCATAAAATTTATTTCGCCCAAGAAGCCTTCCCCATTGTCCATCCAAACTAGAGTCCCCACTATTATGTTCTCTTGGCCTTTGCCCTGTTTACCACCCTGTCAATTAAGTCTCCTTGGATATGGTCCATGTCTCTCGTGCTCTGTCCCTGCTCAGCAATGGGATGTCAGAGACCAGGTGCAGCCTTGTGCACAGCTCTCCCCCCCAGCGCTGGGCACACAGTAGGTGTTTCATAAGGCCCAGCTGAATGAATAGATGGAAGATAGACTGAAGTTGCAATTCCAGATCTGTTTCCATACGTGACCTTGAGCAAATCCACCTCTGAGGATGAGTTCAGGGTGCTCACGCCGCCACTGCCCTGACCGCGGGGCTCTCTCCAGACTCCCTGCCTGGCCTGAGCACCCACCTTGTGTGTGAAGCTGGCATCTGTATGCAGTGGAGCTCGTGGCCCAGCTCCAGCTTGTCGATGGCCTATGAGCCGCTCTCCACCCGCCGTTTCTGGCTGGTGTTGCACGCCTGTGCCCGCTGCTTGGCCTAACTTGTGCGGAACAACCCAGGGACACCTGCCCTTCCTCTGCCAGGCAGCCCTCCATCCCAATTCCAAGGAGAGGAACGCCCAGCCTCCGCCAACCCCCCCGATCTTTCCCACTTGATGTCACTCATTGGAACTCGTCAATGGAGAGGTTTTAAGAGACAGGTTTATGTCCCCTCCACACACATACACACACACACACACACACACACACTTTTTCTTTTTTAACTGGCAGGTGCTCAGTTGCATTCAGAGGGAATGACTAATTGGCTAAGGAGCAGTGTGGTGAGGCCAAACTACCCACGGTGACAGTGGCACCCTAGTCCTCAAGAGCCATCAGCCCTGGAGACAGTGCAGGTCCTGCCACCCCCCACCTCACCCCCAGCACAGGGCCCTGTACCCAGGAGGTCGCACTTGACCCTCAGGGAGCTGGTCCAGAGGTGGCCTTGCGGTTGCAGCAGGCCCAAGGCACTCAGCACCACTCATTGCATCGTGCTGTGGGGACAGCAAGTGGTGAGAGGGGTGGACATGGTGTGGCCAAGGCCTGCCTCATGGGGACTAATGCCCCACTTGCAACACCAGGCCAGGAAAGGAAGTGGGAAGCGCCTAGGAGGGCCTGGGGTTGGGGGACTCCTGGTAGAACCAATGCCTGAATCTCTGCCGAGGAATGCTGACATCAGGGCTGCTGACAGCGTTGTCTGCACTGTTGGTGGCAACCCCAAAAGTCACTTTTGTGGGTCGAAGCCAAATGTGTTTAAATAAAGTAGAACAAAACAAAACAGAACAGAACGGAATAGAAACGACAGTGCATCACGGGCCACCTGGTAAATGTCACCTTCTGAAGCTTGTTTCTGCTACACGGATATTCAGCCAGATCACACAGGGTAGCCATGCCAGCGAAAGTGCCCAAAGTGCCCATGCCAGGCAGTCAACAGAACCTCCCAGAACACTCCATGGGGAGCATAACCGTGACGGTTCTAGCCCAGCTTTGGCAGCTGGGTGGGCATCTGCTCAGACTGGTCAGTGCCCAGGCCAGGCTGTATGTTCAAGATTTAAACAGTGCCCCACGCAACTTGGGGCCAAATGTGGTTTTTTTTCACATTGTATCAAGTGGGTCAGAATCAAAACGGTCTGAAAGCTGCTGTTTTGAGGTTCACGGATGCAGTCAGTGGGTTGGAGGGGACACCTGGGAAGATCAAGTGGGAGCTGTGAGCAGATACAGAGCCTAGGTGTTGCCTTAGATGGGGTGTTAATGTTGGTGGGTTGGGGTGATGGGGACTGCAAATGGGGTACCTGGTGGCTCGGCAGGTTGCTCAGTGACACGGAGAAGGACAGCTTGCTGCCCGCCTGCTCGGCGAGGGCCCTGATGAGGACCACAGGACTTCCCGCCGTCACTGGTTTCACCTCCAGCTGGGCCTCACCGCCCACTGCTGGCCACAGGTCGCTCTGGCCCTGGCAATGTCCCAGAATCACCTGGGGGATTGGATTTTGCCAGCAGGGCCAACCCTGACCACAAGAACTGGGACCGGACAGAGGGCAGGGGATCGAGCTTAGCTAAAGGCCTTCTAGGCTGATCTCTCGCCAATGTCTTAAACGCAGTATTTTTCAAAATTGGTGATCCATGTTACACGCTGAGACATGAATATGAAGGGCTCTCTCTCCCCTTCGCCTTCTTCGTCCAATCCATCAGGGACTCTGGCCAGCTCTCTGTGCAGAATACAGGGTCTGACCACTTCTGCCACCTGCACCATGCCCCCGCTCAGGCCTGGTCGTCATGCCTGCGTGGCTGCCACATCCTTCTCCTGCCCTGGCCCCTGACATCTGTTCTCCACCAGGTGACAAGAGCAACCCCTTTGAGGCATGGAGGATCACAGCACGCCCATTTTTTTCAGGGTAAAAGCCGAAGTCCTTGCAAAGTCCACCAAGGACCAGGCCTTCTGCAGAGGTCGGCAGTACAGACGTGGCCAGATGCAAGCAGAGCTGCCCACAGGAGGACATTGGCAGGAGGAACATGGGCACAGCCCTAACTGCTCCCCCTGGCTCCACACTCGAGGTTTCCTGAGAACCCACAAGCAACTGCAACTGTTGTCTTGGACAGCCCCACCACCTGCAGACCAGTCCAACAGACCTCTCTGTTGGCCACCAGCTGATCCAAAAGATGCAAAACCACCTCACTGTTCCCAGACTATTTGCGAATTTATGTTTTCTCGTAAATCCGGTTTTTGTTTTTGTTCCTTGACAACCGTCACAAATTCTGTCTTCTGATTACTATTTGGTGAGGCCACCTCCCTCCTATTCTGCCCCAGCCACAAGGGCCTTCATGCTGTGCTTTTAACACTCTGGGCACATACCCACCTCAGGACCCTTGCACATGCTGTGCACTTTACCTGGAATGCCCTTCCCCCATAGAACCACATGGCTGTCTTCCACACATCCATCACATCTTTGCTAAAAGTTACCTTCTCCGTCGGGCTTACCCTGTCAGCTTATTAAAAACCGAAGCCAACGCCCAAATCCTTCCTGACACACAACTGCAGACCCTGGTATCTAGCTCAATGGTTCCTTTTTCCTACAGCACTCATACCCACCTATCAACGGTACGACTTGCTTATTTATGGTGCATCTGTGCAAGTCAGTGTGGGCCTATGGGAGCCTGTTTGTGTGTGTATACGTGTGTGTGCGTGTGTGCACATGAGCGTACCTATGCACACTCCCCCTTGCACAAAAACACGTGCAGGCTCTCCACGCTGCTCTGCTTCTCTTGCTTAGTGGTGTGTCAAGGCGGTGGTGTTATCTAGTCTACATCAGAGGCGGTGGCCGTAGTTTTCGCAAGGTGCAGCCTGGGAGTGGAATGATTGCAGAATTTCTCACCCAAACCAGGACACCAAATAGTTAAAGGGAACACTAGTCAGAATTAAGCTGGGTCAATGGTAAACGGGGGCTCTCCAGGCAACCAGAGACTTCGGGGTGTCCTACCACTGCACACCCAGGGAGACGGGGACACACTCCCCCTCCCCGCCATTCTAAAACCCCATCAGCCGAGCTGAGCTGAACCCTGCTCTTCTGCTTTGTATACATGAGCTCATCTGCCTCAGATTCCTCATCTCATATGGGCTTACCGAAAGGACTAAAGGAGGGACCCTGAGCCCAAGGTCACCGGTGACCCCACCAGAACAGGTTTCAGAAAGCTCCGTTATTGTCATGGGTCCAGCAGCTAGAGCTGGAGCTTGGCCAGCTGGAGGCAAGTGTTGCGGGCTGCACATGGCCCTCTGGAGAGCAGCAGAAAGGTCTGTAGGGAGGTCGAGGCAATTAGCGCTTGTGCACTTAGTGAAAAGCAGGAGGTCTGAGGGCTCCCTGGGAGTTCTGGAAACTATGTGTAGTCTCATCAGTCAGGCATCTGGGCCTTCAGGAGGAAGACGCTCTCCCCTGAGACCCCTGTCCTCTCCCCACCGGGGCAGGAAGCGGACCTGGGAGTGGGGCGTGTGTTTATGCAGCAAAAACTCGAGCCCCAGCTCCAGAGTCTCAACTGCAGACCTCTCTGAGAAGACACTGGAGACGGAGGCAGAATCACCACCCTCACTGCCAAAGGTGCGCAGAGCTCCCGCTTGCGGAGAGCGAGCCGAAAGCTGCCGCTTCTGCTCTCTGGGAGCCACAGACCTGCGTGAACATCAGATGGGCGGTCTAAGCCCTCTCCCCAGAAGGGTGGGCAAGACACAAAACTTCCACACAACTGCAGGGGCTTCAGGGGGCCCATCGATTCCCCAACAGGTACCCCTGGCGAAGAACCCTGCAAAGTACCTACTGAGAGAAAAAGGCACACCCGCTTTGGCCCAGGAATTGTACTGCGAAGCATTTACCCTACAGAGAAGGGCAGTTGCAGCAGGTGTACAAGACCAAACGTCTGGGACAAAGTCAAGACCCCCATGCTGTGGGATTAGCTAAACAGATGCCCTCTTATCCACTGACTCTGCCGTTCCAAGTGCATGGCACATTCTTATTTTTAAAGAGGTCGGGGGATGGAAGATAGACTGAAGTTGCAATTCCAGATCTGTTTCCATACGTGACCTTGAGTAAATCCACCTCTGAGGATGAGTTCAGGGTGCTCACACCGCCACTGCCCTGACCGCAGGGCTCTCTCCAGACTCCCTGCCTGGCCTGAGCACCCACCTTGTGTGTGAAGCTGGGATATGCATGCAGTGGAGCTCGTGGCCCAGCTCCAGCTTGTCGATGGCCTCTGAGCCGCTCTCCACCCGCCATTTCTGGCTGGTGTTGCACGCCTGTGCCCGCTGCTTGGCCTGACTTGTGCGGAACAACCCAGGGACACCTGCCCTTCCTCTGCCAGGCAGCCNGGGGTGGCGGAGAATATAGATCCAAATCTGCCTCGCAACCCTCAGAAGTAACCAACCCTCCCAACACCTTGATTGTGGATTTCCGGCCTCCAGAACTGGGAGAGAGAAATTTCTGTTGTTTAAGCTTCCCACTTTGGGGCCCTTTGTTACAGCAGCCCTGGGAAACTCATGCAGGTTTCTTGGTGTATTGATATTTCTTCTGGAAATCTAGGGACTGGTATGTTTAACTTGCTTTTTTTTTTTTTTTGAAGCATGTCCTTGTGTTCCTAATATTGTCAATTTTTTAAACATCAATGGTAGTGGGATTTGAGTTCATTTTTTCCCTCTTCTTTATATCTTCTTGGGTAACAAGAAGTCACAAATGCTATTGGTAGGTGGAAAGGGAAGAACAGCTAAAACACCAAAGAAGGTGGTGATCATTAAGCAGGGAATCTGGGACTGGGCCGGAAATACCTGGGGAGATGGCAGGTGCCCACACAGGTGGGCCAAGGATGTGAAACAAACCTTGACATAGCAGACACCCCTGTCACCCAGTATCAGTTCCAGGTGACTCAGGTGGGCAGGCACTCCAGAGAGCCTCGATCCTCCCTGAGGGACAAAGCAAGGCTTTAGAGACTGGAGTTCAACACCCTGTCTAGTCCTGCATTTGCTGGGGGACATCCTGCCTGTGGCTCCTTGCCTACAAAACCGGGCCAGATTTAGTGTCTGGCCCTCCTTCAGGGGCCTCACGGCCTCACTCGCCCAGCTCAGCCAGGCCCGTCTCTTCTGGGGCCGTCTCAATGGCAGCTACAGGAACCAGGCCGACTCGGCTGTCGTTCCAGGTCCTCGGTAGCGCCCCACCCAGACTCTCAGCCACCCTTCCTTACCCCAGGACACTGAAGCCTTCAACCAAGAGGACAGCAAAGGGGCGGCGAGGGGTGGGCGGCTCAGGACAGGCGAGCGCTGGTTCTAGGCCTCTCAGAGGAAAAGTGAGAAAGATGTGCTTTACTTAATAAGCATTTGGATGGATTCCCTATGTGCCAGGCTCTGCTGTTACCATGTCACACATGTGGCCTGCTTTCATCCTGAGACACAGAGTGGTTCAGGAACCTGCCTGAGGTCACTCAGCCAGGAAGTGGCGGAGGGTCTTGTGCTACCCCACTCTCACAGGTTCACAAAATGCAAATTCTGGGGCTCATTCGTGAAAACCCGGCCCTGGGTGCTGGGTGTCAGGCAGTGGCCTGTTATACCGACACCCACCTCGCCCCAGAGCAGGGACCTCTAGCAGCTCGGGGAAATACAGTCGCCACACCAGCCCTGTTCTTCCTTCAGATTCGTGGTTCTTGACCCACTCGAGTGTGCCCACTTTTAGTGGGTGTCTGCGTGTGTGTCTGAGTGCTCATGGTTTAGAATCCCAGTGTGTGTGTGTGCATTCCCATGTGGGCATGTCTCAGTACATGTGTGTCCTAGTATACATGTATGTCCAGGGGCGCGTGTCCTGTGCATGTGCGTGCACACGTCTGAGTGTGTCCCGGTGTGTGTGCGTGTGTGCATGTGTACTGATGTGACATGCCCCTGTGTGTGCATATGCATGACCAAATATGTGTGTGCGCGACATGTCTCAGTGTATCCTGAGGTGCATGTGGGTGTCCAGGTGTGGACATGTGCACATGTGGCATGTCTGTGTGTGTACATCTGCACATCTGGGTCCATGCGTGTGAATCTTGGTGTGTATGTCCCCATATGTTCTCATGTGAGAGTTCTCAGGGGCATGTATGAGACTCCGTGGGTGTGTCTCCGGGTGTGTTTTCCTTGTGAAGCGGGGAGCATGTGGCTTGGAAAAGCATATTCAGTGTTATTCTAGATTTGGCAAATGAAAACAAACACTCCCTGTTTTCTTAATACGGAGCAGGGAAAGCAGGACTCAGCCAGGAGGGCAGGGGTTATGCAAAGATGGAGAGAGCTATTCAGACTCACGGGAGGAGGGTTCCGCCCGCCAGAGGCCACCCACCACCCAAAGGGCTGGCCGGGGCCACTTGGCTGTCTGGGAGCTGCAGGGCCGGAGCAGCCTCAGGCCTGACTTCCGAGAGGGCGGATGGCTGCCCGGGGGTCTGCGCAGAAGTGCCAGCCTTCCCCTATTTCACAAAAACCAGAATGCGAGGTCTTAATGCAAAAGGTTTGCTTTCACTTCAGTTAAAGCCTGTTTAGAACGTTCCCTTCTCTCATCTTAAAAATTTTTTAAGATGAAAAGATAAAATTACCTCCAAGCCCGTGACCCTCGGACAACCGATTTCACTTTTCCAGTGAAAAGTGCTCTTATGCTCGCACATTTCGTCCACACATGGTTCCTCCCTCATCTCCTGACCAGCCCTCCTGGAAGGCCAAGCATAAAACTGGTAGAAGAAAACGTAGGACGCGTCATGACCTGGGAGAAGTGAAGCGCTAGGTACCCTGTTTCCCCAAAAAAAGACCTAGCTGGAAAATAAGCCCCCGCATGATTTTAGGTGCCAAAATATGGCACCTTGGCATAGTGAATATTTTAAGCTGAAGGAATTTGTGGAAAAGGCACCCTTCTCCCTGAAACAGGTCATAAAACCTTCACGTGAGGGGTGCGTGCCCTCCATATCCTGGAGGAATCACGCTACGGCTTCTTCTCTGGCTAGGTCTTATTTTTGGGGAAACACAGTATGAAAGGCTGACGGGCTGGAATCCAACAAAGCTGAGAAATGGGGTTTTCAAAAGACACCACTGGGCTGGCCGAGTGGCTCAGTTGGTTAAGAGTGCAAGCTCTGAGCAACAGGGTTGCCAGTTAGAGTGCCACATGGGCCAGTGAGCTGCACCCGAGCTGAGCTGCCAACAGGTGGCAGGATGGCTCAGCTGGTGAGAGCACATGCTCCTAACAACAAGGTTGCTGGTTCAACTCCCGCATGGGATGGTGGGCTATGCCCACCCGCAACTAAGATTGAACACGGCACCTTGAGCTGAGCAGCTGCGAGCTGCAGCCGGGCAGCCAGATGGCGACAGGACTTAGAGCTGAGCTAGCTGCGCCCTCCACAACTAAGACTGAAGGACAACAACTTGGCTATTCCCTTCCCCCAATTTCCCAACGCTGTTCCCCTTCCCCAATTCTCCAATAAAATCTTTAAAAAAAGACACCACTGACAGAGGAAACAGCAGAGGCAACCGAATATGGCCTGGCAACAGGACAGAACAAGTCCCGACACACACTTGCATGGACACGTGTATACACACACACACACACACACACACACATACACATACACACATGCCGCATGGACCAGTTGCGCAGAGAATGAGCGAGAAAGAAGCCAGACTCCAGGTGCACATGAGACCACGGTGTGAATGTCAAGGGCAGGAAAAACTGCATAATGGCCAGAAAGGTCAGACCTCTGAGGTCACCAACTGGGAGGGAGCCTTCTGGGAGCCAGCAGTGTCCTCTCTCTTGCTCTGGGGGTGGTTACACAGGTGAGCGTGCATGTAAAAACATCCAACTGGACACTGAAGAGCAGTATGGTCTCCTGAATCACTTGTTTAAAATGTAACTGAAAATACACACCCACTAGATGCGATGTGGTGGCTCTGGGGGGGGACCCTGGGACACACAGAGGGCATTAGTGGTGGGATCTGAACAGCTGGAATTTGGTTAATAGGAATGTACCAATCTCAGTTTCTTAGTTGTGACAAATACCTCTGATGGTATAAGATGTTCATGATGGGAGTGGGGGGGGGCGGGGTGTCAGCCGAGTGGCGCGATGGTTAAGAGCTGGCTTGGGATGCCAGAAGGCCCCGGTTCGGATCCCACATATGAGGGCCAGTGACACTGCCCTCCACAGCTAAGATGCTGAACAACAGCTCAACCTGGAGCTTGGCTGCCGTGAGTCGCCGGCGACGGCGTGGGCTGCAGCCCCTGTGGCAGTGAGTTGCCATGGGATACCGTGTGTAGCCAGCAGCCAGCGTGAGCGGCCAGCAGCCGCAGTGAGCGGCCGTCCAGAAGCCGGCGACTGATCTGCCTCGCCCGGGAAGAGCGCAATGATGGTGCCAACTTGGGCCAGTGAAGCAACATCCTCCACAACTAGACTGAAGAACAAAACGACAGCAACTTGTCTGTTCCCCTTCCCCAATCCCCCAGCACTGTTCCCATCCCCCCAATTCCCCAATAAAAATCTTTAAAAAAAAAAAAAGATGTTTGTGGGGGGACAAACATCTAAGGGAGGGGTACGGGAAATTCCCTGTACTCTTTGCAACTTTTCTGTCAACCTAAAGTTATTCCAAAATAAAAAGCACATTAAAATACTCTTGCCTTTTTTACATCTTCTCCCTCCTGCTCTTCCCCCGTCCCGTTTCCCTTGTCCCCACTCCCCTTCCTCCCTGCCCTCTCTTGGCCACACAACACAAGCCTGTATCCCCAGCACATGCCCAGCACACGCGTGTCCTTGTGGACTGGCTGGGAGCAAACACAGTCCACAGCAGCACAAGCTCTAGTCTAGAGGGACAAGAACCTGCGTGAGGCAGGTGACAGAAGATCCTGAGCTCCACGAGCCAAGGACCCCAACTGCTTGGCTCACTGTGTGTCCCTGACAAGTGGTCACAGCGGGGACACCAGCAGAATACGAAACACTTGGCTCAAGTCTTAACAACTCACTAGTCCACCAATGTCACCCTACAAGTTAGTCGTACTGCACAGACAGGGAAACTCAGGTACAGAAAAGTTAGGTGCCCGAGGTCGTGCTGGTACAGACAGAGCTGGGATCTGCGCTTCTGGCCACCGCAGTCCTGCAGGGCAAACACAGGAGCGAGTGAAAGAAAGAAGAAAGAGCAAGAGGTTTTCAGGGACCCTGAGCCTGCGCAGCACTGGCCCAACCCCCGCAGGTCCTGAACAGGGCTGGCGTTCCTGGTGGCTAGAGTGTCACCTGCGAGGCCGTGAGCTGTGGGCAACGCCCTTCAGG